TGAAGAATTAGGAGTAAGAAAATTAGTTTCTTGTTGGATACCCCACCTGTTGACTGAAGAGCAGAAAGCAGCCAGGGTTAATTGCTGTCAAAAAACGCTTGCCCGTTTCAATTTCGGAAACCCAAAAAATGTGTACAGCATTGTTAGTGGTGATGAATCGTGGATTTACTGTTATGAACCAGAAAATAAACGAAAGTAGGCTGTTTGGGTGTTCCAAGGTGAAGAAAAGCCAACAAAAGTCATCCGTTCTCGAAGTGTTTCGAAAAAGATGGTTGCGACATTTGTGTCAAAAGCGGGTCATATTGCAACAATTCCTCTTAATGAGCAAAGAACTATTACTGCGGATTGGTATACCACCATTTGTTTGCCAAAAGTCATCACCGAGCTTCGAAAAATCATTCTCCATCAAGACAATGCAAGCTCGCACTCAGCTCAAAAAATAAGGCAGTATTTAACGGAAGAAAACGTGGAATTATTGGACCATCCTCCATATAGTCCCGATCTAAGTCCTAACGATTTCTTTACTTTCCCGAAATTTACAAACAAACTGCGAGGTCAAAGGTTCCAGTCACCAGAAGAAGCAGTTGACGCATTCAAAAATGCCGTTTTGGATCTGCCAGGAAACGAGTGGAATAAGTGCTTCGAAAATTGGTTCGAGCGCATGCAGATGTGTATTAATCTTCGTGGAGAATACTTCGAAAAACAATAAAGTCATTTAAAACTACCTACCGTGTTGTTTTATTTCCATATGCAAAACTTATAAGACATCCCTCGTAGATGTTCCCAGTCGATCGATACAAGTTATACTATAGTATAAGTTGTCTCTACAGTTGTAATTGTTTCATAGCATAAAATATCTTGTAATTACCTTTGTGGCACCCGTAATTACTGATTAAAGCTATTATATGTACACTTGTGCAGCCATTACTGATCAGTTATAATAATTACTACAATAAAAAAGACATTTGGGTACGCCAAAGGACTTAGAACTTTTAGACTTGACTTGACCTCACAATCTATTTGCTATGATTAAGGTCTTTAAAAACACCCTTTCAGTATCAGCCCTCATTCAAATGTTAGCAACGAACAGCAGCCCGTCGGCCCGTCATGTCTGTTATTAATTATCACCAGACACAGGCCAGCACCCAACATGCCGGTGGATTCATTTGTTAGTTTGACAGCTATCGAATCTATTCCGATTCCGCTGCAGTCCGCTCCTATACGTGACTACATTATTATCATTTCAATTATTATGCTCGAATTGATAATTCGCCGGCGATGCGGAATCGCTGCCGTTCGCGCCAAGCTTTGATTATTACTGATTTCCTAGCGCGCGGGGTGGAGCGCTCCAGTACTGTGGAATACACGTACACATGGGCTTCTGTATACATTGGAATGTACCTACCTACCTTGTTTAGCGATGTCTAGCCAGGCGTGTGTGCTTAGGTTAGACCTTATTCTTTTTAATGAACAATATTTGGTGCATTATTTACTAGTCATTTATCAGGCATCAACCGGCAAATATACACCAAAATTAAAAAGTCACTCACTAGAAAGATACTTCATTGGTTTAGACAGAAATAAGGCATATAAAAATATTGGAATCGAACTGACATCAGACTTCCATTAAATATATGAACCACAATATTTGATTTTTTTCTAATCTTTCGCATTATCCGCAGTTGAAGACCTGTTACTCTAGTCTTCTTGTATTTACCAGGTAAATGTAGCTTTTTAGATACTAGATCTCTTTTGGGATTACACATCACAACATGTTTTTATCGTTTCTACGTTTCTCACCCTTTGTGCCTTATTCTGGTGCTATAAGGAACTATCCCTGAACGGTTCTAATTCTGTGTGATTTGCTGAGATATTTCAACACACATTGTGATTAGCTATAGGTTCTAGGATATTCCTCTGTAGAAACTCCAATTAACATAAATATTGCACACTCTTGGAGTTAATTTGGAATTTGCAGATGCTCGCTATATAAACAGTGCTACAGTGCGTCAGAGTTTTGTAGTCTTCCTTGGTTGAAGGTGACTGAACAGTCAGAACACAGATTTAGTATATGAGAAGTCGACAAGGAGCTCAAACATTGGTTTAGGATTATCTTTTGAAATCCGGTTAAATGTTTCTCTAATTCCAGGGGTCTTCATAACCCATATTTCTATTCGCCTTAATGGTAACTACTCACATTGCCGTTTACTATGCTCATTCGCTCAACATCACTTAGACAGTGACATTGATGTGTAATGTTCTCCAATTTTATTCTTGTCTGATCCGATTGCAAGGAAATCAGTGTATTCGACTATCGCCACGACTGTCTCACTGTCGAAACAACGCCAGCTTATCATGAAACTGAATTTCAAAGGCCAATCAAGATTGACACCTCCATCAGATAAAGTAGTATCTAGACCTTTTTAAGCTGGTGGAATTTTGAAAACCAGTTACTTGCCTAGTTATCGTTACATGAGAATGTATCCTGCTAGCTATCATCTACTCGATCTGTCATGTTTGCACAGTATGTTACCACTATAATTGCGTAACTTGTGAGGCCTGGTTTATTATTTTATCATGAAATCATTCATTTAATATTATAAACATATTGAATTAGTACTGGTGGTTAGTAAGTAATATACTTATTACAAATGCCATATAGTATAGTCCCAGTATTACACAGCCGGCCATCACAGATAATATAAATGACATGGTGGCGTCTGCTTAGTGATTAGATTTGACTTGTAACTTAATCCTCTATCTCCCAATTTTCCAAACTACATAAATCAGACGGCATACGGATAGGTAACATCATGGATCAAGTTATTTTCGCCAGGTAATACTAGGGGTCGATCTCTCTCACTCATGATGTGTTAATATATGGCAAAAGGGAAGTTCTTATGGTTTTTGAGTGGAAGTTATATTACACAGAAATAAAAAGGAATTACGGCAGCATTGTTAGATTCAAACGGATTTGCATCTATCATATCCCATTATTTGATGGAATGCACCATAACCCACTTTATGGTTGCTTGATACAAAGTGCTACATCGCAAGTTGTACATTTCTATAAGGTTGGGGCTGCCATCAGCTAATTACCAACACCGGCCAAAAGATTATTAAGATATATAATAATATAATATACATACATATATAATTAAAGTTTTTGCCCAGATACCTCGAAATTTTTTTAAACTAAAAGTAAAAATATCGACAATTTCAGTTCCCTGTAGCGAACAATATTTGACAAAATGACCTAAACTTACAGCATCACAAATGAAATACTCGCTACTAATAAAATTATGCACTCCTCTTTCTGGGGTAATTTGATTACAAAAAATAATTAGGACAACTTGTTTTCTTAGCACCAAAGACGAATTATAATTATAATGTTTGGTTAAACAAATGATAAAATAAACTATATACTAACATACAACATAGCATGAAACAAATTATGAGCCATCTTGCTAGGTAGGTTAGGTACACAAAAATATTCATGAATTATAAATCAAATATGGGTAGTAAGTTTCAATTTTTAAGAGATCAAGTGCTTTTTTGTCTTGTTTCGGTATCCAATTTCTGTTAAAAAAGTATTTCTTCTCCAACAGGAATTCATAAAGATCGGAGGAACTCAGATCCTTGGAATTAAACTTAATTTTGATCAGAGAAGAAACCGTATGAGAGTTTCCCTCATTCGTTCATCAAAAGAGTAATTGATCGCCGGGTGCACGAGCTAACTAACTGTGTTGAATACTCAGATGCTATAATGTGTTACTGATTCTCCACAGATTCACTTCAAGGTTGGTATCTGGGCCAGATGAAACCAAATCGACGCACTTCATTGTCTGCCTGCGCACGCGAGCTGCGATGGCATCGCCTAGCTGGTTATACAGGGCGGAGTGGAGCAGGTTCTTGTACTGGGGTGACGCGACGTAGTGTTGGCTAGTGAGTTGATGTTTCGAAACATTGTTTTGAAACAAATAGATGTTTCAATGTTTCTATACGTAAAACTTTCATGCGTCGATACATTGACTCATTTCAATACAACACAAGTTACACAAGTACTGCTAACGTGGTTGCATACGCTTGATTCCTGCGTTCGGATGTGTGACTGCTACACTAATACACTGAAACATTTGAATCAGTATCGATGCCCGCTGTTCACCGAATCAGCAGTTTACTGTTTACGTTTACTTTGACGGTGATTACGATTAATGATTTATTTTTTTATTCACTATAATCCGTAGTTATTTAAAATGTCGAATAAGCGGAGTATTATTTGGGATTATTTTTCCCAAAACTCAAAAAATGAAAGTAATGCTAAGTGCAATTTGTGTTTTTCAACATTAGCAGTAAAGAATGGATCAACATCCAACTTGACACGGCATTTTAAGCTGAAACATCCTACTATAAACCTTGGAGAAACTAGGAAACGGACATTAAATGTGGAAGAGCAAGAATATGAAATGGTTGGTGCAAAAACATTAAAAAGTAGTGACCCTGAAACGGCTGCAGATGAGACAAACGTGAAAAATAGTGGACAAACATCTAGAAATGTGGAAAAATGCAAGGGATTCTGGACCCCAATTAGTCAGTTTCTTAAAAGACCTTTGGGATTGTCTAAACGACAAGCACTTGATAATCAATTATTAAAATTTATTGTTATTGATTATCAACCATTTAATATTGTTGAAAGTGTTAATTTTCAAAAATTTGTCAGTATGTTAAACCCGAGCTATGAACTGCCAAGTCGAAAAACATTATCGAATAGTTTATTATCGGCGGCGTATGAAAAATGTGTATCCCATTTGAAAGTGCTTTTGGACAAAACTGCCTACGTTGCAATTACAACCGACGGCTGGACATCAATAAACAATGAGAGTTTTTATGCCATTACTGCTCATTTCTTAACTGATGATTGTGAAATTCATTCTGGACTATTATCCTCATTCAAATTTTTGGGACAACATACTTCTGAAAATATAGTTGAGCAATTAAAAATGGTATTATCAGAATGGCAAGTGGACAATAAAATTGTTGCATGTGTAACTGATAATGCTGCTAATATGGTAAAAGCTGTACAGCTTGCTAAATGGTGGCACGTGCCATGTTTTGCTCATTCGTTAAATTTAATAGTACAGTCTAGCTTAATTGAAATTACCGACACTTTAAGCAAAGTAAAATCGATAGTAGAATTCTTCAAAAGAAGTACTTCGGCGATGGAGAAGTTGCAGAACGTCCAACAACGTATGGGTGCGAGTGTTCTTAAACTTAAACAAGATTGTCCAACTAGATGGAATTCCACTTCTGATATGCTGCGTAGATTCAGCAAAAATAAGGAATCCTTGCAGAGCACCTTAGGTATTTTAAACAATCCTACTCTTCCTGTTTTGTCCCCAGAAGACTGGTATATTATAGAAACCTGTAGTGATATCCTGATCATATTTGAGGAAATCACCGTTGAAATTAGTGCTGAAAAAAATGTATCTCTTTCTAAAATTGCAATATTAAGTAAAAATCTAATCAGTTATTGTTCCCGCTTAAAAAGCGAGACATTTGAAAATGGTTTTGTGATTAATATGGTGAACAAATTATATGATGAAGTTGGGAAGAGATTTAAATGGAAATATAGGAACATAACCATAATATGGGAGGCAACATTTTTAGATCCGAGATTCAAACAGCATGGATTTCATGAAGATGACATTTTTAAGCAAACTAAAGAAAACGTAATAAAAAAGTGTATGCAAATAAGGGAGAGAGAGAAAGATAAACTTCAAAAAAATACTACTGATGAAAGTAGAACAATATCGACTCCTACTTTGTCGACGTCTTCAAAAAAATCTTCACGATTTGGTGATATATGGACTGAATTTGATTCGACTGTGGGAACCATGATAGAAAAGACCGATAATTCCATGGCCGCAGCCATTATCGAAGTGGACAAATATCTACAAATGCCATTAATTTCCCGCAAAGCCGATCCACTTTTGTGGTGGAAAGAAAACAAGAATTTATTTCCTAGCCTTTCTGATTTGATGAAGAGAAGACTTTGTATTCCAGCGACGTCAGTCCCATGCGAGCGGATATTTTCGAAATCAGGACAGATTATAACAGAAAGGCGGAACAGATTAAGTGCCGAGAAATCGTCAAAGATTATATTCCTAAATAGTTACTTTAACTCATTCATCATGAATAGCGAAAAATAACAATAAAATTGTTAGTTGTTTGAAAAAAATACGATTTGCGATATAATAGATATCAACCATCAAATAGCCCTTTTCTTTTTTAGTTGGTTCGTTTGGTTCGTTGGTTGCTACATATTCTTTTATGTTTATATTGTTATATTTATGAAAAAGTTAATTTTTGTTTTTACTTATTAATTTGTTGTTTTACACATGTTTTGGTTATATACATGTTTGTATTTTTTTGTTTCTACTAATTCTACGTACCTATTTTAATTTTATGTTTGTTACGTCAATACAAATTAAGAAGTTCTAACAATTTTTATTTCAAAATTACATATGTTACAATTAGGGATAGATTGGTATTTCATAAGCTGCTATTTTGAAGCTGCTTTTTGACAGTAGCAGCTTTACCATGCTTTTCGATTCTAAAAAAAAGTTGCTACTAAGAAGCAGTATTGTACTAGTATATGAATGTATGACAACGCGGCACCGCGAGTCGTCGAAGGCGATACTGCGACATGCAAAATCGAGCTGCTTCGTATGAATAGGCATGAGATGAGAGAATTATAGATTTGTTCAGACGAGGAAATGAGCGCTGGAGAACAAAACAAAATACAAATCTAGCTTTATTTCGGCCAATTAGGCTCATCCTTAAATTTTCAGAAGTGAGATCAAATCTGTAATAGCACTAGAAATGGAGAAATTGAATATTTTTAGAGTTTTTTCTTTAAAAAGTATGCAATCAATCATATCAAAAGTTAGACAAAAAAATATAGTTTTTTAAATCTGATTTTATTTCGGTTAATTTGACCCATCCGTAGAGTCTCAAAAGTGTTATCAAATCTGTATGGGCCGAAGAAACGAAAAACAGCCATATTTTTTTTAATTTCATGGTGAAAATATATAGATGATAGGAAGTAGTTAAACGTGCATCAAGCAGTGTTCGACCTTCCGCTGTACACTGTACCGCTGCGTCCTGCAAAACGACTGTGTCACATACTGAGTTGAGTGTCTTGAATAGTATAAAACTAAATACGTTCTGCTAATTCATGTTTCGCAAAACTAGATATACGAGGTACGAGATACTGATTCAAATGTTTCGAATCAGTGTTTCGAAACATCATAGGTGATTGATTCAATTGTTTCAAAACATTCAAATGAGTCACTTTGCCCATCACTAGACGCGAGTCGTTTAACTGGCGTGTGCAACAAAATATTTCTTTGGTCATGCGCCTTACATTTCACAAGATCCTCCTGATACAAAAAGTGTCCGGACACTAAAAAGCCCCTTCCCGTCGTCCTGTAAGCACGGACAAATCCGGAGAATGTGACGTGTAAGTATACCTGCTGGTCCCACCACCACTATTTTGTGGTCTATTATTTTATAGCTGGCCAAAAACCTATATCATGGGTAACCAGTAATTGTCGAGGTAACGTCAGAATAGTATCAGGAGCCAAATAAATTGATTATGAATTGGTGGTTATCCCAAACGACTGGTAGGCCCCAAAGGAAATGTGAATGACCAGTGGTTATATACTGCTCACATGATGGTAAAACTTAAGAAGTTCTTTGCTTAACCAGAGCGTGCACACTTGGATGGGCAGCATTAATTCGGTATATCAGTCTACACTGCCTTATGAAGCTGCAGCTATATTTTAACCAATGATCAAAAACAAAACAAAAAAACTAGTTAAATTACATATCAATCTCAATGATTAAACAGAAGTGACCACGTATTCTTCTCAACACGCCTTCTGCACATCTGCCAGATGCGCTGGTAATTACAAGCGAACTGCACTCATTATTACAAAACAAAAAAAATCGACCAGACTAAGAGTGCTGTCTCTATTACCCACTTCTTCTGTCTGGCCTGCAACATATAGAATATCTTAATCCCTGTTAAAACGTGACGAACAGTGGCGTATCCAGTTAGGAAATCACTTGCTGAAACACACATTTTCACAACAATAATAAATAATTAATAATTAATGTAGCTTAAAAAGACAGAAAGATGGTTCATTTTTACCCGAGTGCCTCAGACGTGGGTACATATGTGCATAAAAATAATTCTATTTCATAGACCACAATACTAACGGTTGTATAAAATCTAAAATTTTAATTAAACATTTCAACGTTAGTATCTCTATTTCACGGGCTACAGCTTAAACGGCGGGGTTTGAGGTATGAGGTGTCTTGACAGTCTGAGTGACTGAGTGTACTTAAATTTCCTAATATAAAAATGGCACACTTCAGTCGAAAATTTAAGCTTCGAAATTTCCCTAGATGTGTGTTTACCATGCGAGTGACTAAAATATTATAATATAAAAATTGTGGATTTTAAACGCAAAAAATACAATTGCACAAACAAATATATACAGTTTCGAATTTTCTATTTCACAAGCTACAGCCCAATCGGCTTGTGGATTCTAACAATTAAGGTATTCGTCTTGATAACACAATTAAAACTACATTCTCATTTCATAAATGTTTTTGAGGTACCTGCCAAAACGGTGGCGTACCAACAGAAATAATATTAATAGCTGACTTTATTAAAAAATAACAAAATATCCTTCAAATAAACAAAATGTCCATGAGAATTGCGAAGTCTAGCTTTTCTACTCGACGATCAGAGAAAAATATAATTGCACAGAAAAATATGTCTGTACAAGGAGGCAGCACAGAATTGTCATAGCAGTAATCAAAAGAAGTACAATTGTCCTGAAAAAATAGACAATAAGACATCACAAAATGATCATATATAACATGCACAATTAAGTAACTAAGTTTAAAGGTTTAAGGAAAGCACACTTCGATACCTCATAAAAGCCTTTTGAAACCACTACAGGTATAATTTCAGTACTACTCTTGATCATAGTTTCCGTTTTCCGCTTTCTAGTTGCTGTCCATTATTCCTTACATGATGCTATTTGTCAGTCCTGTATATGAGTAGAAAATATATATTCTGCTTTTAGCCTTCAGTAGCTAGTCTCTGCTGCATTCCACTACTACTAAGTGAAAACTTCAATTTGAATTAAGAATTCGTTTCCTGCTTACAGATACCGTATTTCAAAATCCTATAATTTATTGGATTTGATTAATTTTTGTTGTAGTGCAGAGTCGGCAATGCGGCATTATAGCCTAGTTGAAGTGGTTCGCTAGATATTTAAGTAATTGCATCTCCACACAAATGCAATCTAATAAAAAAATACAATAGCTCAATAATAAACACTGGAGAACATCGAAGTGCATATACTGATATACAGGGTGACTTCGAAGTTGAGTCATTTATTTTAACAGTGAGTAGATCTGATAAAACGAAATGTTTTTTTCCTATAACATTTTTCTAGTAAAACTAAAGTAACAAAGTTATAGCCCTTTAGAGGTTTGAGTACCGCCCTGTCTCAATAATAATAGTATGGGCTCGTGTTTGGCAACAAGCCCAGCTCTGAGTCGAGCAAAACGGAAATCATTTCGAACACTTTTTATGACATGCTTTTGGGCGCGCACTGAAATAATTGTCTGGGGGATACTTTATAAAACAAGGTAACATTTTTTTTTTATTTTTTTTTTATTTTTACACACATATTTTGGTTTATCTTCCTTCTAAAATTATTATCTGAAAATTAGTGACTCAACTTCAAAGTCACTATGTATAAAAGATGGAACTAGACTGTTATTTGAGGACAAAATAACAATGTCCAGAGGCTATGCTGGACATATTATTTGATGCCATTTCCGTACATTGTCTCTTCCATTTATTGTTATAGTCTTGAGTGATTGTTCCTTGTCTATAACACATTGCAAGGTATCTAATTTAACTGATCTAATATTATGTACAATAATTACGGGATACTGAAGTAAATGTCGGTATGCCGTGTCAAGAGATAATATCGCTTCTATATTTATTCTTAATTAAATTATTCAAATTTTACAATAAATTGCGGCATTAGCTTAATTCCGAGTCAAATAATTACATACATTATGAGACACATGTAAAAGCAATAACTATATTTGTTGGCACATTTATTTTTATTAACTACGTCTCATTAACATATTCCTGCCGATTTTTCAATTTATACAAATGCAAACCGGGTTTAATGAATAATTGAAACGGATGTTCGTGTCTTCAATGAAAGTCAACCGCACATAAAATAGCGTTGATATGCTAATTTTTATATTTATATGGAGTCCTGATGAGTTGATTAGTTAATCTCTTCATCAACGAACTATGGAGAAACAACAAGATACATGTTTGAGACATACAGGTGCTTGTGCTTGAGAAAAATATCAAGAAAGAAGACAAATTAACAAATCAACCGATGAGCTTGCCTACCTGAAAGTTGTCTGTAAATTTGGTTTTCAAGTTCCTGTTAGCAAAGCGGATCCTGATAATATCGTAATGCTTGTTCCACAACCTCATGTGCCGCGTTTTGTACGACGCTCGGCGTGTATGTACAGCGGTTTAATTGCAAAACTTTAGTTAGACCATCTGGTTAAAAGGAAATACAATTTCAATATGGTCATGGCATTGTAAAAGCTTTTTGAGGATTATTGCAGGTTCAGACAATATTTATACAATCATCAGGCTTGCTTACACCAGGGCTAGCTAACCAAAGTACGTTAAGACCACTCTGTGCTAAGAGATGGCGCAACACTAGTTCATTCACAATTTGCATACCGTTGTGATCGAAACGTTTACAATAAAGTAGATTTTTTCAACAAGGATACGTTACCCTATGACTTTTCTAATGTATCTTTTTGTAGTGGAAAGTTTTCTGTTGTATTGAAAATTGAAAGATTTTACCTTTCTATACAAAATATGACGCGCATTTAATGTAGACTTATATTGCTTTCAGATCTTGCCACAGAATTGTCAAAGTAGTCATATAGTTTTCAAATTACAAATTACTTGTATTTTCCAAAATTGATAACACATAGCGATTCGAGGTCGCCCGTATAATACCCGTCTGCTTTTCCACCTAGATCAAATTTTACATTCAAATCTGGTTAATATTACTGT